GGCTTAAAGGCACATGGGAAAAGGAGTTAGGTATAGCAATTGATGATGAAGAATGGAAAGATGTCTGGAGTTATGCCAAATCAATCTCAGTTTGTAATCGTACCAAAGCAATACAGTTAAAAATCATACACAGAATGCATATATCCATATCTCGCAGACATCATCAATATAATCCTACCCTTTCACCCATGTGCCTCAAATGTAAAACAGAAATTGGTACCCTAACTCACAGCTTCTGGTCATGTTTGAAATTGCAAGAATATTGGTTATCTGAAATGGAGACGATTTTCGGTTGTGAATTGGACCCTCTGTCTATCATACTGGGCCTCCCCAGCCGGCGATTAATATCCAAGAATAATAGGAGATTGTACTGTGTTCTCACCTATGCGGCAAGGAAGAATATACTACTCCAATGGATTTATGAAAAAGCACCAACTATTAAAGGTTGGCAAAGAGTAGTGTTGGATCTAGTGCCATTGGAATATCTTACATGTATACTGCACTCAAAAACAGATCAATTCTTTAAGGTGTGGGAACCATACTTGAATTATGTGGAACCTGATGTTTCTAATATTATGTTACAAGGATTCTCTTGAGTGTTCAAACTGCAAAGTACTACTGGGACCACAGGTATTGTATTGTATTGTATTTTCTCTTTATTTGTTTATTTATTTTTTAGATGGAACTGAGCTGGTGTTCTGTGCTTAGTTATCAGTCTATTTGTTTTTTTTTGTTCATTTGTTTTTGTTTATTTATTTATTTATTTATTTTTGGTTCTGAATTGATTGTATACTTAGTTATGTTATGTAATTATGTACTATTTGTGAAAACAGAAAAACTAATAAAAAATATAAATAATAAAATAACTAAATAAATAAATAAAGCGGTTCATAAATGTTAAGGAAAGCAAACATTGTAGCTGCTCCCATCCATCAAGCAGAAAAAAAGGCACCAAATCCAACAAATGAATCGGTTTGAACCCTTTTAATACACTTTATTACCTGCAGGTCATTGCAAAAACACATTGTCATTGACATTCACAGGCATTAGGTAGTTTTTTGCACCAAGGTTATTCCCGAAAAGGTATTAGCTGAAAGCTTGACATATCAAGAAATAACAACTGCAAATGACAAGAAAACGTCCCTAAAAAAAAGAGTTCGGGCTATGTTGATGACATTGTATTTCCATATACACTACCAGTCAAAACTTTGGACATGCCTTCTCATTTAATGGCTTTTCTTTATTTTTACTACTTTCTACATCGTAGATACATACTGAAGACATCAAATATACAAAGCAAGATATGTGGAACTATGTAGCAAGGAAAAAATTGATAAAGTATGTCTCATGTTTTAGATTCCAGAAAGTAGCCACACTTTGCTTTGTTAACAGCGCTGCAAACCCTTGGCCTTCCCTCAGTGAGCTTCATGATGTAGTCACCTGAAATGGTTTTCACTTCACAGGTGTGACTTGTCATTTGTGGAAATTCTTGCCTTCTTAATGGGGTTGGGGCCATCAGTGGTGTTGTGCAGAAGTCAGGTTGGTACACAGCTAACAGCCCTATTTTTACAACTGTTAATTCATATTATGGCAAGAACCAATCAGCTAAGTAAAGAGAAATCCATTTCAGCTGACAACCTCATGAAGCTCATCAAGAGAATACCAAGAGTGTGCAAAGCAGTAATTAAATCAAAGGGTGGCTATTTTGAAGAATGTAAACTATAAAGCACGTTTTTAATTATTTCACATTTTTTGGTTTGCTACATAATTCCAAATGTGTTCATTCATAGTTTTGATGCCTTCAGTGAGAATATACAATGTAAATAGTCATCAATATAAAGAAAAAACATTAAACGAGAAAATGTTTCCAAAACATTTTACTGGTAGTGTATATTTGCACATTTCAGCAATTTCCTTCTTCCCATTTTCACAGGAAAAATGCAATATAATTAGTGATGGCTCAAGACTTTTGCACAACACTGTACATTTTTTTTCTAGACAGGGGTCACATGAGGCCTTGCAGTTCTTGCAACACCTTCTTTCATTTCAACACATGATATTTAATCATCTTCTCTTCCAGACCCGGAAACGCTCAAACTAATGTCTAAACCACGATGCTCTCTTCCTGATATTGTCGGAAGAGACGACATACTGAGGAGGCGAAGGAGGAGGAAAAGATATGCACTATCAGGCCTAAAGTGGGATAAGACAGATCTCACATGGAGGTTGGTTTCGTGTGATGATTGTGACATTGTGGTTTTATCATATGTGTATGAATCATGGGAATATCCCAGGAACACTTGACATGTTTTTTACCCCATAAGTTGTCATGGCCAACAAGCTAGTCA